CTCGGGGATTACCGAGATTGACGAAGCAACCGTCGCCGCATGGACCAACCTCAACTCGCTTTTGATTGAGCAAAGCCAATTGCGCAGCGTCCCCGCATCTTTTCGCGAGCTTACGCTTCTCGGTGGTCTCTCTCTCTTTGGCAACAATATTTCGGAGCTGCCAGCACACACGCTGGGGGCGCTGAGCAGTCTCACAACACTAAATCTGGCGCAGAACCCACATCTGGAAAGCGTCCCGGACGATGTGAACCAGGCCAATTTGGAATGGATGCTGGACTTGTTCCTGGAAAACACGAGCGTAGCGACATGGTCGCCCACAGCATTTGGGCCATCGACCAACGTCTACATGAGCGGGACACCGTACTGCACCGTCGCCGCCACCGAGCCGGCGTGTCATCCCAGCGCCTACGACGGCAGCTATCGCTTTGGCATTATGGCCCGTCAATTCGATTAGAACGACGGCAATCGATTTAACTGCAAACTCAATTGACTCTTGGACTCTGCATGATACCAGAAGCCAAGTCCCACGAATCTGGCGTTAGGGTGCGTGCGTTTAGAATCGGCACCAGATGCCGAATCCGCCCATGTGCCGAAATGGCGTGATTTTTGTTGCCACGATGTCGTCGCTGCCTCTGTACGTCCGCGCAAGCGCCATTGCCGGCGCGCTCGCGACCGCAGCCTTTGGCGGTGCGTCTATCCTCTCAGCCCGTAGCATCCTCGTCATCGGCGCCCGTACTAGGCTACATCTACGCGCATGTGGAGACAGTGCCCGAGACGGGCCGCCGGCGCCTCATGCTCATGACACCGCGTACGACGCCACAAGCTCTCGCCTATGCTCACCATCCTTTGGCTGGCGTAGAGGCCGAGCGGCGCTTGGGCGAGATGAGCTTTCGTGAGATCCTGCGTGACAACAGGGAAGCGATTGTACCGCCAAGCGACCCGGTACACACTCCAGCAATCCCTCCGGATGCGTCACCGCCTTGGTAGCGGGCCAAGATGGTGCGCGCCGTGGGCGAGCGCATCGCCGCCGCGTCGAACCGACCCGACTTCAAGTGGGACTTTATCGTGATCGAGTCGCCCGAGCCCAATGCGTTTTGTCTTCCCGGTGGCAAGATTTGTGTGTACACGGGTCTCTTCAAGGTGGCCGTCTTGGCCGCAAGCAATCGCTCATTTTGACGCTAGCTACTGCGCAACCAAGACAGCCTCGCGGCCGTGCTGAGCCATGAAGTCGCACACGCTCTTGCGCGTAAGTTGTGCTACGTCCTCAGTTCCATGCCTACATTCTTCGTCATTGTCGTACTAGGCCACAGTGCCGAGCAGATCTCGGTGGGCAACCTGTTTTCTCTCTTTTTGCTCTTCTTGTCTCCGGAAGCGAGTACACTCGCGTCTTCGGTACGTTGACTCGCGTCGACTTGTGGCAACTTGATGTGACAAGGCGTTTGCCCTGGGTGTGAACCTGCCCAAGTCGCGCGCCCACGAGTCGGAAGCCGACGCGATCGGGCTCCAGCTCATGGCCAAGGCCTGCTACGATCCGCGCGCGAGCCCCGCGGTACCCTCGCACCCTCGCCGCATCCCACAGGTTGACAAGTTGATAGATGTTTGCCGACTGGGCCAAAATGGACGCGCCCAAGTCGCTCAAGTACTTTTCGACGCACCCGCCGAGCGCCGAGCGGGCCAAGCACCTCACGTACACATCTCGCATGCCGGCCTATGTCAAGACTGTCCATCTTATCTCTGTAGGAACCAACTCGGAACGCCATTGCGTCACTTTGATGCGCATTGCCACGACGTGCGCCGGCATTTTCAATAGACATAGCTTCCACAAAGTGTTGTTAAGACGATGTACAACTTACGCCAGCAAAGGGCCAAGGGCCGCTTCGTTGCCCGTGTTCATGGCCGTGTCGAGCGGCGTCGATCCGTCCTAGTGGTATCGTACATTGTTGTTGTTGCTGCTGCTTTGGCGTGGGTTCATCGAATACCTTGAGCGTCGCGACCGTGCTCGCACCATGCAAGAGAAGGAACTGGACCATCTCGAGGTTGCCCATTTCGGCTGCGACATGCAGCGGGGTGCCGCCCATCTACTAGCCAGGAGAATGGCTTTGGTCACGCGGATCGTCCAAGAGGCAGAGGTTAGGACCTCGTTTTCGACAGCGTTGACATTTGCACCGTGTGAAAGAAGGGTTTGCGCAATCGCCATCTTGTGGTGGAGCACGGCAATGTGCAGCGGTGTCCAGCCCATCTACTCGACAGGACATCTCAGACAAATTGTCCACACTTTCGTCGATGAGAAAAGCCATGGACCCACCGTTTGCGGCGCATCGACTGGCACCTTGGCGTGGTCCAAGAGGTACGTAGCGCACTCGACGTGGCCTTCTTGCGCGGCCGTGTACAACAGCGTAATGCCATTCTACGTGGCTGGTCGTCCAAAGAAACGATGACAAGTTGTACATTGTAGGTGGCATGGACATTGGCGCCGTGGGTGACCAAGAAGGCGAGGACCGACGCATGGCCGTTTTGCACGGCAACGTACAAGGCATCCCAGCCATCCTATCGCACGCGTCATGCCACGTTGGTCTACAGAGTAAAGGACATGGTTAAAC